ATTTTGCAGCCCTGCTGCACCCAGGGGGCGGCTAAAAGTAACACGCGGAACAGCTGGACGCTGATACTGGCTGGCCAGGCCTGGCAGGGTCCATCTACGCTGCCCTCAATGCCCCACAGTGCCGAGCCTCAGCGTCTGGGTCCGTTCGGTCGGGCTCATGGGGCTCGGACTGCGGGTCTCTGATTGCAGCGCGGACGTTTCCTCCGAGGTCTGTGTAGACGTTGGGGGTCGGGCTGGGGCCTGGGCTCAGACACGGGCGGGTGACTGGGGGGTGGGTTCCTTTAAATCTCCCTCCGGCTGAAGGGAACAAGGGCCGTCCTTACACTGATGCCTAGTTTGATCCTTCACATCGCAAAGGCGGCCGCTGATTTCCCCTCTGGCCTGGATCTGCAGCGCAAGGGTCTGTGATGTTAATAGTTTAATATAATATATCATTGAAAGGTGACAGGCCAGAAAGAGTTAATTAACTCACAGCCTGACCTGACCCATGGCCGAACTTTAGAGACTGGTTAGGAAGATCTGTAAATGAATAGAGCTTGGAATGCAGACGGCAGAGTTAGAGAGATAAGGGTAGCTGTTTGCTCAGGTCTTGTGATATAAGCAAACAAGTCTTGTCTATTGCTAGAGCTTTGATTCAAAGATCAAAAAAGGAATATTAACATTTAGGAAGATACTTAAGTGAAATAGTATTATTGTCTATATGTCTCTTTGAAGGTTGTGGGAACCTGTATCTGAACTGTTTAATGGATAAATTATCCTGTGCTAGTTGCCATAATGTTTTCTCAGGCCAAAAGGCTGCAGGAAATGTATAAAAACCCTGGGACACGATCCTTCTACATCTCAGATCTGCTTTGGGTTTCAAGAGGGGGAAACCTTAAGCGAGAAGGATCACTGGAGTCACCGTGAATATGGACATTGGACTATAACCTTGGGACTATTTCTAAAGGGACTTTTGGCAACTACAAGCTCATCTCTGCTCTGTACCTGAACATAAAGAATTCAATTCAAGTCTATATGGATATTGATCTTTTAACCAACATGCTCTCTCTTTTCTTTTTTAATAAATTTTAGTTTAGTTAATAAGAGTTGGCTATAAGCGTGTATTTTGGGTAAGATGTAAATTATAATTTGACGTGGGTGTGTGGTTGATCCTTTGGGATTGGAAGAAACTTTCCTTTTATATAATGAGATAAGGTTATCAGTAATCATCATCATACCTGACATGTGTGTCTGGGTGGAGGTCCAAGGCTGGGCACTTTAAGGGAACTGCGTTGTTTGGACTTCTGAGTAACCAGTGAGGTACTATAGAAGCTGTTTTGTGCTGGCTTGGGTAAATCTAAGCATTGGAATATCCACCAGCGTTTGGGGTTTGTCTGCCCCGTTCTGTTTGCAGTTCACTCTAATAGAGTGACCACAGGCAGCATCGTCACAGGGTCACAGAACATTTAATGGGGGTTTCCCTGGGGCGGGCGGGGGCAAGGTCTCCCGGAACAGCAGAGCCCGGAGCACGTTTAGTGCCAGACAGTGACTGGGTCCCATTAACACTCTGCCCCATATAGAGCATCCACCGATCCCAGCAGAAAGGGGAGGGTGTGGAGGAGACACAGTGGGACAGCCTGGGAGGTGTCAGGGGAACTGGGGTGGCTGGTGTGAGGGGAAATCCCAACAAGGGGGGATTGGAATGGGGTGTGTGGATCACAGGACAGGAGGATCCTAGGGGCAGGTCAGGTCGGGGGTAGAGAGGTGAGCCAAAAGAAAGGGGGGCAGGAAGGGGTGAAGATCCCTATGGAGAAGGGGCAGTACGGTGTGGAGGGAAGGGGCCTGGAGTAAAATTGGCTGAGGGTGCATGGTGCAGGGTGGGTATCCCAGCACAGGGCTGAGTTGTGGGAGGGGCTAGAGGGCAGGGCTGGGGTGCCCAGGGGTGGGGATCCCAGCAGAGGGAGCTGGGGGCTGGCGTCAAGGGGCTGGTGGTAACTCACAGATGACATGGAGCCGGATGGTTCTGCTGGTGGAAGGTCCCCGTGGTGGGCTGTAGGTGACGGTGCAGATGAGCTCTTTGCCGTGGTCCCCTGGGGTGGGAGTGAAGCTGAGCGTGGACCTGTGGGCCCAGGTGCCGTTCGCCAGCTGGGCTGAGATGTTCCGGGCTGTGTCGCTGAACGGCCCCGTCCAGGTGACTTGGGGAGGGGACCCGGAGCAGCGCCCAGGGGCTGTGCAGGTCATAGTCACCGGCTCCCTGGTCAGCAACGTCCCTGGCAGCCCCCGCACCGGCGAGATCTGGATCTCTGGCTCCTCCGTCAACTCTGAGACACGGGGAGAGAATCACTTGGGGACATGGAGCTTTTCCCCTTTAGGGGCGTTGGCTCTGATCAGGCCTGAGGACGGGGACTGGCTGGCTCAGGGGGGCTGATGAGCGGTGTCATAAATATAGAGGGAAGAGTAACAACTTTCTGTATGTAGTATCATAAAAGCCCTCTTTAGCAGCTGTATTAAATCACCGTACCTGTAAGAGATTAATGAGCTCAAATAACCTAGTTGGCACCTTACCAGAAGGACCAATGAGGAAAGAAGATACTTTCAAATCTGGGGGGGTGGGGGGAGGATTTGTTTATTGCTGTCTCTTTGTTGTTCCCTCTCTGGATGGAGGGAGAGACCAAACAGGTACAACATCTCCTGAAAATATACCTGGAATAATAGATCTAAGCCCACAGAAATTGTAAGTAGGCAGGAAAAGGCGTGAGGTTATCTTTTGTTTTAGCTTGTGAATTTTCCTATGCTACAGATGTAGTTTCATTACTGTTTTTGTAACTGTGAAGCTGAGCCCGGGGGGAATCCTCTGTGTTTAAAATCTTTTATTTACCCTGTGAAGTTACCTTCCAAACTGATTTTGCAGCTGTGATTCTTTTATATTTTATATAAACTTCTTCTTTTAAGAACTTGATTGATTTTCAGTGTCCTGAAGACAAAGAATCCGGTCTGTGCTCACATTGCTAACCAATTGGTTGGTATATTATTCTCAAGGCTCCACAGGAAAGGGGGTGAAGGAGCTTGGGGGGATATTTTGGGTGGATAGGGATTCCAAGTTACCCTTCCCTGAATTTTTCTATAAATCACGTGGTGGTGGCAGCAATACCGTCCAAGGACAAGGGAAGGAATTTGTGCCTTGGGGAAGTTTTTAACCTAAGCTGGTGGAATATAAGCTTAAGGGTCTTTCATGAGGGTCCCCACATCTGTACCCCAGAGTTCAGAGTGGGGGGGGACCCTCGACAAGCAGTGAATGCGGCTGCTCTTACCTGTCACAGAGATCGTGAGCGCAGGG